TAGACAGCACTACGGTTTTCTGAAGGTCATTACGGAAGTGTCTATCCAGCAAGTGCGATGTGGGCAAACACTGGAGGCAAATGATGCAGATATCTTGGGGAGAGGAGGTTTGCTTGGTGTATTCGGTGAGCAAGGGAGGGGCCGGCGTGGCTGGTGCGGAGTGAGCTAAGGGGAGTGGAAGGAGATCAAGTCAGTTTCCTCCCTGATAACGCCCCTCCAAGAACCACACGTTACCTCGCTCAAGCATCTGCTCTACAAACGTCCTCTTCCCTAGGAATCAGCTGACAGGTCCCTGTGTGCAGGTTGAAACCCAGACTTTGCGGCACTACTACACTAATAATGAGTGGGCGGGCAGCAGCATACGGTGAAAGCGAAGCATTACATCACATCTTGTAAAGATAACATGGTAGAAACCTTCAGACTCGGGACATCTAGTACTGGTGAAGATCAACTCCTAGCCATCAGACTAAGCCACCCTGGGAACATGCATTCTTTCTTCTGTCCCAATGGCTGTGTTCTCTTTTAAAAATTTTAGACAGCATTGGTGTCATATAATAAAATGGATGCTATGGAGTGGGAAGACCTGGTTTGATTATTCCATCAACTCCTCAACAGTTATGTAATTTTGTGACTTGACATTCTTATCTGAAGGCAGACAAAATAATGTAGGTTCAATAACTAGTTATTGAGTGTATCTATTCTTTGCCAGACTCTATGTCATACTCTAGATATAAGTATCATATGAGACTCAGTCCAGCCCTAAAGGATCCACAGTGAATATTATGAGGAAGTCAAGCAAAGACTTTCAAAAGTCTTTGATATATTTAGGAGGATCAAATGGGAAAAATACTAGAAAGCTTGCTACCATGGACCTCAGTAGGTCTCAGTAAATGTAAGTTATATCTCTATAATCCTAATTTATTTTGTGGTGGTGGGATTAAACCTGGCATCTTGGATGCTTAAGACATGTGCTCCATGCCTGAGCTGCATGGCCCAGCCCTTATGATCTTTTTATTCTTAAGAGTTGCCAGTTAACTTATAGCTTCCAAGATGACTAAATGGCTATTTTCATTCAGTTGGATATTATCTTTTTTTCCAGTCATGTTAGAATAATTCTCTAGCTCCATTTCTTAAAACTGAAATAGAAAAATTATGTGATTTGTGCTGCTATGGTTATATATAGTGGTCTGTCTGCTGTTTTATATCACTGGGAGAGACTGCATCTGTTTTGCTTACGTTCTGTGCTCACTACATTGCCTTTGATGGGAGAGAAGGAATCTGTGTGTCTTTAATTCAACCAAGTACAATGGTGGCACTCAGGGGGTGCACTGTTTCAGCAAAAAAGATATAGTGAAAGAGAGAAATCACTGATAATTTCACTGTTTGTGCTCATAGTCTTAAATTTGCTCTTTTGTTTTTTCTTTCCTTTTCTATTTGCATGTTTGCCGTACATAAGAGACACATTCATCGCAGGGAGTTGTGACATACGCATATCACATCTTCAACCTTAGTTACTTCCTCGCCCCTCCCTCTGCTCTCCCCTCTGTCACCAGATCCTCCTTTCCTCTCCACGATGTCTACCTCCCTGTTTCCTATCATCTGTCTTTTATTTTCCTATTTAAATTATTTATATTTGGGTTTCTTACGTAAGCGAAACCATGTGATATTTAACCTTTTGTGTCTGATTTATTTCACTTAGCTTTATGGTCTCAAGATGCATCCATCTTCCTACAAATAACTCAACTTCATCTGCCTTCTCAAATATCGGGCTTGGTATTTACAGCAAGTGAGAGCGATGTTATTTTGAGTTCACTGTTGTGCCAGCTATAATATTAGTGTACAATAACTGAAATTTCATGTCTTTCAAATGCATTTGTTTCATGACAGTTGAAAAACTGTCACTGAGAGAAAATTTATTCTAGGCCAACTTTCAAAGTTCAAAAGATACGGATTATAAAAGAATGGAGCTATGTTAATCTAAAACAGTTTTATCGCAAAGTTGTTGAATCTTTAAAAACATTTTAAACAGTGTCATACTTAAGTTATAAATTTATAATTTTCTTTGGTTATAATTAATGGGCCTTTTTCAATTTAGCAAAACTGAAGTGTTTTCAATTTGTCCATAATATTTATTATATTATTTGATTGTTATTGATTATTTTATTGAAAAATTTAATGGTGTTCTTACTATGATAAGTTCCTGATTATTATTGCTTTGAAAAATTGTACATAGCAGAAATTTCATTATGTGACATGAAGACATAGCTGTAGTTGGAATTCTTAAGTAATTACTCAGGGTGAATATTTATACACTGATGAATTGAAAATCACTCATTTCTGCTTTTGAGATCTCAAGTGCTACGGATTCTATGTGCATAGGAAGGTTTAGTTTTTCATTTGCCTCTCAGTGGACACTGTGTTTGGCATGTGAACTCGATTTGCTTTCTCTTCTGTTCTCTGTTGAAATGCAGCAGTCTGTTTGCTTTTACTCTTTTCTTACCATCTTCTGTTTTCTACCTTCTTGATTCATCTTTGGCTTCAATGTTTGACACTGTGTCTTGTTTTCTCTTGCATTTCGACTCTAGAAGCAAATTTCCACGCATTTACCTGGAATCGTATTTCCACCCCTTCCACCCGTGATAAAGAATTTAGACTTGCCTACAGTCTGCTTATCTCTTTAATTTTGTATTTCAGCTAACTTCCTTTGCTATTCTTGAATTTTTTTTCTAGGGGAGGCAGAGTTACTAGTCTCTATCTCCTTTTCAGAACTGTATTTCTGAGGGTGATTCTAAAAGCCATTTTAATTGAGATATTGGGACAGTGAGTAATGTGAAAATGGTAACATGGACAGCCACATCTTGACACATAAACTGGCAATAAGAAATGGAAAATAGTTGCAATTGGACTATTATGCCATGCTAGGTAAGTTTGTATCAGCAATTCCTACTCTGAGCCAGTTAACATACAGCTAAATCTGGCTTGTGAAATTCGTCATAATATTTTTGGGAAGAAATTCCTAAAATGTTTAGTATATTTTGGCAGCTTTGAAGAGTAAATATGAGAAATATCTTTTGTGGCTTCAGATTGCTATTTTTTTTCTTGTAAGTCACTCTGAGTAATTGCAGAATCATGCAATCTCATGTCCCACTTTTAAATCATGGTATTTTTGGAGGGAAAGTTTCAGAGTTTGTTTCATAACCCAGCAAATAATAAGTAATGCTGACCATATTTTCTCTCGCTATATTACTAGCTGCCTGTCTTCTCAGACAGGGTAGTCACGATGTCTCGCAATACTAGCGGCATGCACTTGGGGCTGCGTGGACAGAAGGACAACTTTGTGATTGAATTACGGAACCCTCAGCCGGAATCAGAAAGCATGGGGTTTAGTTTTATCTGGAATGTCGACTAACAACATGACCTTGGACGAGTCCCTTAATTTTTCTAGCCATGTCTTTGGCATGTGTTGCAAAACCAGGTGATTGTGAGATTCAATACAAGTCTCAATCATGATGTATTGTAGTTATGTAAATACCGATAAACTTTCCAAGGTACTACCTGTAAATCAGTGGTTTAAACCCTATTGTGCTTCAATCGTTTCCTGAAGAGTTGATGTGGGATTCACTTGTTTCTACCCCTAGAGGACAATCTGGTCTTATTTAGCCCTGTGGATACTAGCCCGTCTTTCACCAGAGTAGATGACATATATGAATGACTATCTAAGGCTGAGAGACTTCACACAGTCATGGGAAAGTGAATGTCTCCCCTTTGCACTGAAGTCTCACTTTTCTGCCACTCTTGCTGACTACCTCTAGTTCTCCTTCGCAGAATTTATTTGAGATCAAGTCAGCCCTGTTAACAGTTATTTTCAAAACACCGAGAAACTTTAAGCATCAGAATATTGCTTCTACTTCCGTGTGCCTTTTAAAGGATAGAAGCTGTACTCCAGGGCTATGGAAAATGTCAGGTTGCAATGTCTGCTTTAGGTATCTGCTGCCCATAGTACTCATGTGCGATCCTTGTGACGAAGTGCACACACATTCTGAAGTGTACACACCCACGTAAATCTACCCTGTCTTCTACACCTCCCTGCACACGCTCCCCATACACGCATGCATATTGTCTAATTTTTGATTCCACACTATCACTAGGAATACCCATTTAGCCCCGTGTTACCTCCTTTTCAATTTGGGGAGCTTTGGCTGTCAGAAGAGTCTCGGCAGCTAACGTAGAGTGCGGTTGTGGGCAACTCCTGAACAATGAGCTTTAACAGAAGGATGAGTGAAATGCTTATTGGAATAAAAATTAGGTTTCAAATTCCTTGGGGGGAATGAACAAAAGCCAATGCTTTCCTGTTCTTTTTTTTTTTTTTTTAACATTGATGCTGTAATGTAATTTGGGATTTTCGGGGGAAGGGAGGCAAAAAGAAACTTCAGCAAATCAGCTCTTTGATTCAGAACTGGAATTTCGAAGGCTGTTTTAGCTAGGCTTCCTGACACTCCTTGATTTAATCCATTTTTACTGTGATAAAGACAGGAGCCTCCCAAATTTTGTGAAAATCTGAGCAGCGGAGTGTTTTTAAAGGGGGAAACTGTACAGTTGTTTAAATAATCCCGGGCCAATAGCATTTGGTAGGTGGAGTTTGTGTTGTGTGCATTACAAAGCAAGATAATTCTGAATGAAGACTTTAAACGTTACACATACGGCACGATTCTGGTTCTGGTCTTTGTGCAAGTGAAACAAACGACTAGGTGACTAGGCGCTGCTTACTATCTGCTAGTGAACGTAGCTTGTTGGATAAGATTTTTAGAAGAATACACGGAAAGGGTTTATCAGGAGCTCTATGAATATTTCATGACTGGATATATTCAGCTGAATGGATTCAGGGGACGTCACTGTGGAGCTCGCAGACAAGCCTCACCCACAAGGAGGCTACTGACATAGGAAGCGCTTTGGCACATTTTCAGAGGCGAAGCCAGCCTGATAAAGCTCCTTGTGACAGTCTGACTTGCCATTCTTCGAGCATGCTGCTCTCGCTCTGAGCCGCTCCTCTGTGGGAACCACGGCTCCGCAAACTGAGCTGAGAAGAGTTCGCAGACTCCTCAGCCTTCTCACCTGCAGCAGGGTCTCTGCTATGTTTGAGGCTTTTGTTTCGAGGGGTGAAAGCTAGCGCTTTGTACAAGACATGACAGCAAAAAATTCTTCAAAGGAACTTACGGCTTCTGAGTCTGACGTTTGCATAAAGACTTTCAAGGAGCAAATGCACTTAGAACTTGAGCTCCCGAGGCTCCCGGGAAACAGACCCACATCTCCCAAAATCTCTCCACGAAGTTCGCCCAGGAACTCACCATGCTTTTTCAGAAAGTTGCTGGTGAATAAGAGCATCCGGCAGCGGCGTCGCTTCACGGTGGCTCATACGTGGTAAGCTGGGGTGGAGGGGTATGTGTGCTGCTTTTCAGAGTCTTACACTAGCGGGTGATTTGCAGTGTTGAAAGTGGAATGTCTGAGTGGATTCTGAGTGCATACCAGAAGTGTGAAATGCACGGGGAGAGCAGGTCAGCTAAGAATGCACGAAGGCTGCGTGTGCTGAATAATCGCTGTGCTACCTGCTGTTTCTATGTAAAACGTGCTCTAACCGGGGAGACGCTCGGAAACCGCAGCTTACAAAAATATACAGCTGATTCTAGGTCAATGGTGCAATAAAGGAGTTTTTAAAAGATTTTGGGTTAGTCTCTGTTGAAGTAAGAGGTGACTTTGTGGGTTTGTCTTGTTATTTTGGATAATTTTAATAGGATATTTTTGGTACAAGAATAAATACTTTCATCTTAGTTCTAATTTCTTAAGACAGTCTATCAAGTCTATCTTAATTCACTATATCTCCATGTTTACAGTGTAGAAATCACTGAGTTTTTATTTTATTGACTTTTAGCTTTACACTAGTTAAGGGAAGAGATACTCCATCCTCACTGCTGAAATTTTGTGATTAATTTCTTTTGTTTATGCTTTCAAATTGCTCTTTCAGAGCCTCTTGTTTTAAAAAATAACTTAAAGTGTAAGACATTTTGGAAATGCCTGTTAAATAAATTCAATGCACCTCTGTCAAAACTGCGCTGCGCCCTCATCTTTCATACCTAGGTTGCAGGAATGTAAATACACTCCCAGGGCCTCCTTAACCCCGTACCTTAGGAAATGTATGGAAACACGCACGAGGCTAGAGTCCCCTGACTTGACAAACCCAGGCCACTTCAGATTTCACTGAAAGACCTGTTTTCTTTCAGATGAAGCTACCCTCCAAAACTGATGATCTGTGCCTCAGTTTTATTTAATAGGGACCACAGCAATAAAGGGAGCTAACTGGCTTTCTGTGTCTACGTGCCAGGTTGCTAACCAACATCATAAGTGAAGACACCTGGTTTTTAAAAATTAATAGTTACTTGAATGGTTTTCTACTAATCGTAAATGTTTGTATGCCTAATCTCCTGCATAATACATTGGCAAATTAGAGTTACCTCACAAAGATATAGCTTGCTTTTGATGAACACCACATACCGGGCTACTATGTATTTATCTGCCTAATTATGATATGGTTAGTCTTGTTTTCTGCCTGGGATTGTTATGTATCTACTTTCTGTATTGGATAATGTTTTGATCATCTTCTTGGTGAATTAAATACTGCTGTTAATTGTAATCTATTACATGTGGAGCACATGTGGTTAGTTTTTCAAAACTTACCAATGGTGAGTAGCATGCCTAGGAAGAGGTTTATATAAAAGTATGTACTCATTTGAAAAAGCTCTCTCTCTCATACCCTACCTCACCCTAACATATGTCTATTTTTATCTGGTTTGCTGAGCAGTACAATTGAATAGGGGAAGATAAATAATTATATTGTCAATTAGATCTCACAAAAAAGGAAACATGCAGCTAGCTAATAGATGCATATGTCTTACTACTCAAGTGAATATTAAACAATTATTTTGACCCAAAGGACATTTTAATTTTAGGTAAATCTTCTTAAAACCTTGGTGATATTTTTTCTTAATATATCATTTTGGATTCTGAATATAATAATGTGACCTTTCTTTTTCTCAGAATAAATTTTTGGTGTGCTAGGAACACTGAGCTATAAATACTAGTGATTTTTTTCTTTTCAAAAGAACCAGAATTTAGAGTGATTAAAGAATCAGTTTTACTCATGCCTTATACAAATTTTCTTACAGCAATTTGCAAAGAGAACAACTTAATGATATCAGGTTAGTTATGCTAATAAAATGATTTTCTATTAAGTGAAATAAAATTTTCCACAATTGCCATAAAAGAAAGCACATGGGTTTGGCATAATGTTCTTTAATATAGGCTAAAAGAATTCATTAATCATCAAACTTATAAAATAACTTTAGTTCTGACTGTGATTCATTTTCACCCTTTTCTTTTCTTCCAACTCACTCACTCCCCTTCTTTGGTTTCTTAGTAAAGCTGTACATAGTTTGTTCCCAGCTCCTGACTAAGTCTATATATAATTATTTCTGTTGTTTTATCTGAGTATCTGCTTAATATTTTTCAAATATATCTTCATAAAATATATAATGACAATCTCTACTTGGAAAATATACAGGTATCTTATGTATTGGAATGACTCCCTCATCTTAAAAAAATTATGTGCTGCTTTTTTAGCATACTGTATAAAATAGTTACATGTGGATATAACAACAGAAGTACTTTATTTTTGCTTCTTTTTCATGATGAAATGCAATCAGCCTTTCATGATCAATGATTGGTGTTTTCCAAACCATGCATTTAAGTTAGAAATTCCAAGATAGGCACTTAGAAGTCTCTAAAAACATGTTATTACTTTACAGTAGACAGTAGGCTTCTCTTAAGAAGACTGGATTGTTTTGATTCCAACATCAAAATTAAAGTAATTTTCATGAAGAAGCTAAACAACAAAGAGGATACTGTTTATATCTTAACCCACTAAACAGCTTTTTATCTCTAGTTATTTGTAGATTTCATATTTTTGTTAAATGAATGTGCAGCTCCGGTTCTAAAAACTCGACGTATGGTAGAAGATTTGGGAAACATTTGTGAAATTCTATCTTTAGGAATATTTTTGAGATAGCAGAAGAAAAAGAGATATTCATTGTGTTGTCACTAATTAGAATATATACACAGCCCCAAATCCGGAGGGAGCTTGGATGATTGTCTCATTACTTTCTTTTACCCTTGGACAGAGCCACAATTACTCCATCTCTAATATTTGGGAAACTTTCCTACTTCTAAGACTATAGAAAAAACAATTCCCTCACCTCACTTAGTACAAAATTTTCCCACTTCACAGTCAGATGTTGGAGAATTCTTCCCCTTAATCAATCTATATAATTTTTATGCAATATGTAATTTTCCCCCCTCAAAGGATAGCTAAAAAAGATTCATAAGAATCTACATAAATCTGAAGAGCATTATCATTTGGTCCCAGGGTTTTCTTTCTATTCACTCAACATACATAATTGAGCCCTGCTGTGAGCAAGGGAAGAAAAAGAGTCTCATTCAACCTACATGTATTCCAGCACCTGCTGAATTTTTAATTCTTTACTAGAATATTCACACGTATAATCTCACTTATGTTTCATACTCCAAATTTAGGTTCTTTCAGTATTGTACGTGGCAGATATAAAAAGTATTCTGAATTTCTTGAGCTTCTTCTAAGTATTTCTATTTAGCTAATCAGTGTTTTGACCCTGAACCACAACTTTGAATTTTCAAATTCTGCTTTGAATCCTAGCCCCGCCCCCATGGGCACCATGTTCCTTGTTAGACAATGGAAGGACATCTGGATGAGAAGTATGTCATCCGCTGCAAAGTGTTAATGGCATGTCCAGCATTGCTGAAAGGGAATATGGAGATTACTGCCTGAATTCTGAGGTCATTGTATCACTGACACCCAAACTCAAATCTGAGACAACTTCTGAGGCCCAGTATCACCTACCTGGGATGTACAGCACCCTGTTCTCCCGTCTGGCACTGGCCGTGCAAGGTTCAGGCTTTCAACCTTCTCCCAGGTGCTGATGTCCCAACCTCAGTTTCAGTCCTCCTTGGTGAAGAAAGCTGCTGCTGTGGCTCTTGAATGCACCCTGTGCCCCCAACACTCCCCATGGTGCTGTCTTCCTGAGGAGCGAGTATATGGACTAGCACCTCCTCTGTCAGAGCAGCTTGCACAGGGCAACTAGCACGGTTTTGGTTAGAGTTACACAAGGACAACTGGCATCCTTCCTCCTCTTCTTGATTCAGTTCCACCTGTGTCTTGAAAATCTTTCCTTCTGTTAACAAAGATTCATGCAGTGTGTACTTCTGTGCCTCATATTTGAATCTAAAAGTATTAAAAGCCACAGTTTATATTATAAAGGAACTTATACGTGGTGAGCCAAAGCTGCAGTAACTGCGGAGGCAGGAAGAGAAAACAATGAATAGAGCAATTGCTTGACCTTTCTCTGCACTTTGGATACACTTGTAGAATACAATTTGGTCCCAGTGTGTTTGCTAGATCTGTTAAACCTGTGTCAAGCATTTTTCTTTAGTAGTTTTGAATTCTTTCCTAGTAAATTGGAAATTTTTGACAGATGTCTGTGGTTTCGCTTATTTATTGATTGAGCATCAGCAAAGGAAAACATTTGTTGAGATCCTACAGTGCACCGGCCCTGCACTGGGCTTAGTTGTTACAAAATGAGAAGGAGCCCTCAACTCACAGACCGGGTAGAAGACAAATTTATAATTAACCAGTGGAGTATGAATAATGTTATCAAAGTATGATGTTCAAGGCAGCATGAGGCCACAGAGACATAGCCATCACCAAAACTGAGTTGGCAGGTGGGGACGGTGTAGGGAAGAGATGCTCCTCACGTGTGGAGGGAACAGGAGTGTCTTAGGAGCAGAGTGAGAAGAAAGGATAATTTTGGGCCAAACGATACTAAGGAAAGGAGCAGTGAGCGCTCTGTTAAGCATTTAAGCATTTGTGGTGTGCCTGACATTGTTCAGAATGTAGTTACACATTTAACCCTACAGCAAGCCCATGACTTAGGTACCAGAAGTTGACCATGTGCTATCTGAAATGCTTGGGATGTAAAGTGTTTCAGATTTTGAATATCTGGATCATGGAGCATCAACCTGTGCTAATATTTCTATTTTATAGGCAAAGGAATGAGGGTCATCATTACAATGTAAGTAATTTGCCAAAAGGGCACCATGTGAAAGTGGCCGAGCTGAGATTAGACTCTGAGCGCGGGGACTGCCCGTGTTCTCTCGGGGTTACTGTACCAGATGGAAAGTGGGAAAGACAGAAAGCACAACTGTGCTCCTCAGTTGGAGCCACAGCCTGGGATTCCAGGATCATTTGCAAGACTTGGAGCTTCCATCAGTCCAGAGCG